ATATATATATATATATATTTTTTTTTTTTTTTCTCCAAAGGAAGTTAGCAGTTAGAGTTTTATGTAGGATTAATTTATAAATGTTTCTGAGAAATGGACTGATTTCATGTTGCCTCGTCTCGATTTTTTATAAGTTGTTGAGCTACCTCAACTACAAGAATATCATACAAACCATTTTTTTTTTTTTTTTTTTCTCCAAAGGAAGTTAGCAGTTAGAGTTTTATGTAGGATTAATTTATAAATGTTTCTGAGAAATGGACTGATTTCATGTTGCCTCGTCTCGATTTTTTATAAGTTGTTGAGCTACCTCAACTACAAGAATATCATACAAACCACCCGTTAGTTCATATTTGTCTATAATACTAATTAAATACTAATGTGGGCTTCTTTAGGACTTTTTAGGAAAATAGTAGAAAATATACCAATATGAGAAGCTTAAAAAAGTATATAGATCATTTTTTAATTATAGAAATTAATATGTCATAACTTGTCAAGTTATGGTTCATAACCAGATAAGTTATGGAAAAACTTGTCAAGTTATGGTTTATAACCAGATAAGTTATGGACAATAACTTGTTAAGTTATGGTTCATAACCAGACAAGTTATGAACAAAAACAGTAATTTGGTCTATTTATTAACTTATGTAAACTATTAGCTTATTAATTTTAATTAATCTCAAATCTGGACCTATTTTCCTCATTCTCCATTTTTCTATTTAATTGTATGGAAAGCCTCAATAAATTAGGATTTTCCTATTGGGTCAAGTCATTTAGGGGCAAACGGATTATTTATGATGAAGATGATGAGCATTAGTTGTAATATCATATATACCCTAAATTATTGATCTTATTGCAACTAAAGTAGTCCAACTATTCTATCACGTATTATAAAGGCAATTATCACTTTATAACTTGTTATGGGTAACAAAGAGATCACCAAGTTAGATCAAAATATTATCAAAATATTCCACTGAAACTTGTAGAAATAACAAATATCGATAAAATAAAAAATCCATCACAATAAGCAAATTAAACAAATACTCCATCACTTCTACTAAAGAATTTAAAGGATTTTTTTAGGGAATTTAGAGAATTTTTTAATGTTTTTTTGTCTAATTTGTGTGCATATAACTCCACCAAAGAAGCAAAATCGAGTTCCACAATAAATAAATTTTTTTACTCTTTCGACATATCCAGCACCTCTAGCATAGATTCTTATTTATATATATATATATATATAATAACAAACTTCTAGAATCTTCCAAATCTACCATTTAGAAATTACAAATTTGACAAGAAATCAAATAAAAAAATGAAACTAAAAAAAAAAAATTCTAATAATGTATATCATTGCTCCAATCTTCGTAAACTTTTAAAGTAAAATAGAACCATTGAATTGAACCTTGAAAGAGGAGAATAATGAAACAATTCTTTTATGTGATAAATAGAATAATAATGAAACTTTAATTTCTTCGTCTAAGTATTGCATGTTCTTGCAATATCAAAATAAGTGATGAAAATATCAAAATAAAGTTTAATAAGTGATGATTTTCAAATTTTCTAATAAGTGATGAAAATATCAAAATAAAGTTTATACTTATTGAACCTCTATTAAACATATGGCACTAGAGTTCCTAATTTATAAATTGAAACAATAGGTTCCCAAACTCTCATTTTCTTCGTATTTAGGGCCCGTTTAGTTTGTTGATTCGAGTTAAGATGTGACTTTATGTGAGAGCTTTTTATTATAGTAAAAAGTTAGATGTGACTGTTTATGAGAATTTTTTACTGTAACAAAACTCGAATCGGTGAAATAAACAATCCCTTAAATATCTATTCTGAAAATTTAGACAACTTTTTATCACATCAAGTAGTTAAGCGAGAGTGTATATATATATATATATATATATATATATATATATATATAAACAAGTAAACCCGAACTAGGAATAATGCTATGTTAATGTCCTAATGTGGTTTAGATTGATTAAGAATTGTAGTTTTTTTTTTTTTTTGGATTTTTGCTTTTGTATTTCATTTTTTTTTTCTCTTGGACTCGTTTGAATTTGGAGAAGCTTCCTTCCCTAAAGAAATGGTACTCTGATCTTGATGAACCAATAATGTGAAAGCACGCATTTTAAGTACACATTTTGGACAAACTACTTTTGTTTACAAATGCTCGTATACATCTAGTGATCCTGTACATTCAGTCTATAGTTCATATTTTAGATGATTGGTATACGAATTTAAGAGAATTGTGCACCACTTGGGGGTATTCTTAAATCCCATAAAACAGTTCTTGGGGGTATTTTAGCTCGGGATTTTGTTTTTCATTTGTAATAGGAGTGATTTTTACCCCAATTAGTTTGGGCTATTGTTTTTTTTCAAGACCCGATAGATTCTTTTACGGTTTTTATCGATGCTATGAGTTTCTTGGGGCCCGTTTAATTCGCTGATTCGAGTTTTTAATTCGAGTTGAGATGTGGTTTTATGTGAGAACTTTTTACTGTAGTAAAAAAGTTAGATGTGATTATTTCAGAGAGCTTTTTACTATAGCGAAACTCGAATTTTAAACTCGAATCAATGAAATAAACAGGGCCTTGATATATCGGATTGTTTACATCAACTATAGAGAATATGTTAAAGAGTCATGTGTGTGCTTGATTTTTTGAGTACCTCTTTGAGTGATTTCCATTCGTGGAGTCCGATACACACTATTTTTTCTTGAAGCTTCATTCGAGTTTACTTATGGAACCGGTTATCTACGGTGTCGTGTTTCCTATAATGGATGTGTGTATGAATTAGTATTTATAATGCCTTTAATATTTTGAAATATATTATCCATTTCAAAAAAAAAAAAAAAAAAAAAACTTTGAAATCAGGGGGAAAAGAAGTCGTAAGAGAGATGGAAAAGGTAAAAATATATTTTGGAAATTCTTAGTTAATATATGGAAGTGCATTTGTAGCCAATAAAGGAAAAATAAAAACTTGTGTTAGGGGGAAAAAAAAGTTGAGATAAAAAGAAAACGCAAAAAGAAAAAGCTGTTTTTTTTCTTTTTATTTGAGAATCCTTAACATACATCCGTTACAAGAACAAAAACTACTAGAGGTAAGTAGTAACACATGCACTTTCGAGCAAAAAGCAATTAGCAACACAATAAAAGAATTGATGTTACAAAACAAGTTCAGACGGAAACCCTTTTATTGCCCACCTTCTTTTTGAGTCCTTGACGATGCTAAGGAAACAATAAAAAACTAACGCTACATTAGTCTTGACAATGATAATAACAACAAAAACAAATAAGATAGCACCAAAAAAAAAAAAAAAAAAAAAAAAAAAACCCCAAAAAAAAAAAAAAAAAAAAAAAAAAAATCCGTTAATCCATTATGATAACAGCGGGACACAATATTCACATGGTAAGTAATACTATCAATCAGATGTCTTGTGATCAATAAGTGGATGATCTTAATCAGTGGCAATGCCCACCAAAAGGAATTGCAGCTTACACTCAGGGATCTTCAACTACTTTTAAAACCACCCATAAAAAATAAGTTACACTATGACCCTTGAAGTGCATATTTTTACAGGTTTTCAATTGCCTCTTCAAATATTAGACAAGTGAAAGCAGCAGAAGAAGAATTGGAAATACAAACTACCTTAGCTTCCTAAAACAATGGTGCATTAAAAACAGGTCTAGCAAATCTACTGCTATCCAAATTGCCAGTTACTGCCATTTTCTGAGAGACTTCGTTGCCGAGGAGCTGCCTGCAGTAGCAGTGGGTTTCTTAGCACCTGGCATGCATAAAGACAAAATGGAGTTGAGCATCAACAAATTACCACTACTAGTCATCAATGGGGTCAGAACTCTTAGAATTAGAGGCAGAAAAGAAGATGACATACTGGACAAAACTTTCGAGGTTGAGGAACTTCGGGACAATGACAATCGAGATGATTTCATTGACGCCAGCTTCTGAGGAGGCCTTGGGAGTTTAGATGGTAGAGTTAGCCTGCTTGCAGACAGATAAAAACAACTATATATCAATTTCATTTAAAGGAGGTCCAATAATAACTAGCCGAGCCAAATGATTTTTTTTTTTTTCTCAAAACCAAGTATTCGCATGTTAGAAGCAAAGAAGAGTCGTTAGATATAGGACGGAGAAGGATTGGAGGTCATTCGAATGGGAATTTTAGCATAGTTGGACAACCAAATATGACAAGTTCATTCAGCCATTCATCATCAATCGCAAAATGGGGACTGTAGATATATCTTCCAGGAGAAAAGAAAATACTCACTTCTGTGTGTTCTCAGATTGTTTTCTTTCTGCTTGACTGGTCTCTGTCTGGGTTTTCTCAGATTGTTTTCTTTCTGCTTGACTGGTCTCTGTCTGGATTTTCTTAGATTGTATGGAGTCTGTTTGACGCTTTTCAGCTTGCCCATTATCAGCTTTCGTGTTTTCCAGTGGTTTTGCTACTTCAGGGAATAGAGTGTACTCCACAACGCTGCTTATGGAACCATCGGTTTCTGTTCCCATTGAAAGACCACCATCAGATATATCACTCAGTCTCTCCTCTGAATCCCCATCTCCAAAGCCCAAGAGCTCAAAGTCCTCATTTAAATTCTGACTTGCATCTCTTCTCATACTCGACTGAGTGGAATTTTCCTTTAGATTTCTGAAGTCATCGACCGACTGCTGCGAACCAGCTTCAGACTGTTTCTCACTATATTCTGAACAATTGTCCATATCAGAAGCAGCTTTTTCACTTAGTGCTGATCCTTTCCTATGGCTCTGTCGAGGAGTCCCTATTGATTGCCTTCTTGGAGATGAAGATCCATATCTTAGTGAACTCATACCATGCTTCACGCCATTGCCATTGGCCTTCAGCAACTGGTCAATCTCCTCATCTTTCTTCGCAATCACATCCTTAAGGGACGCCACCTGACAGATCAAGAATTTAAAATTGAGAAATACAATGGTATTAAATATTCCACATTCAGACTGAACGTAAGTGAATACCATTAATTTGTAAGGGGGCATAATATTTAAGATTTTAGTTTACAAGGTGGAAAACCAGTATAGCTAATTTCACATGTCTAAGAAAAGAGATAAAACCTGTTCCATGAGTTCTCTAACGTCTCTTCCCTCTTTGTTGCTTCGTGCAGCACCTAATTCAACACCAGAAACCCTCTCCGCAAATTTCAAAGTACTTATAGTTTCAGAGTAGGATTCTACATCAGGATTCAACTGTACAAACATAAGAGTTTTCGCTTGACCACCTACAATAAGGATAAAGGGATATAACAGATTTAAAGAAATGAATCTTCAATAAAAGTACTTGGCGTTATAGAATCAAACTAGGTACGTGCAGCACAAAAAATGAGTATACAATATTATTGAAACTGAGAACCGGAAAAGAGAAATTACCTAAAGAGCTCTGAAGGACTTGAGTTAATTTGCTATTTCTATATGGCACGTGAGAACTCTTTTGTGCTAGAGCAAAGATCACATCTCCAAGAGCTGATAGTGACTTATTTATATGTTGTGCCTCCCGAAGTCGATCTCCAGTGGCTTCAGATCGATCAACTCTCTCACTACCAGCAAGATCTACCAAATGTAAACTACCACGTAGAAGGGTATCAGTCTTTAGGTCCGTGCCACGAACATGGACAGTAAGAACACTGCATCATTTTGTCAAGAAGAGACAATGCTTCAGGGATAAATTCAATATGCCAAAGTGAGTGGGAAAAAAAAAAAAGCCTTTGTAAGGAGAATAAAACCTGTGGGATCTGCTACTCCTTTCGTTCAGGGCTGTTGCACCAACTGCCCTATTCATTAATCCAATATTCATCAACTCCAAGACATCTTTAGTTGAATTAACAAGATGCATACTTGCATCAGGGACAGCTAACCCATTTGGTTGGGTAGTACTCCAAATCCCAAGTGTGTGCAAGTTAAAGGAAAAAAAGAATACCAAAATAAAGCAAATAACCAATAACTAGAATATAAATAAACTAATAAAAGCAATAACCAAGCAGCATTATGTCATATCATGAATTAATTCAACCAAGATAATAAATGAAAATACATGACAAAGAGATGAAGGATATCTTTTCTGAGAACTCTCATTTGAGAGTAGGTCACGGACTTGTTCATTGTATATCTCAACCATTTGAACACCAATTTCATAAGCAATAGAGCTCTTCCTGCTTTGAGAGATTTGAAAAAGATCATTAAGTGCTCGATAGTTGACACCCCAGTCCACTGTTGATGATATGCTAGGCCCACTCTGGGATAGAAAAAGAGACGTGTTGAACAAAAGTATAACAATCGTAGATACAAAATGTGAGAAAATATTAACAAATCACGTACCATTGTATAGGTCTTTCCTGACCCCGTTTGACCGTATGCAAATATACATACATTGTATCCATCAAGGACAGATCGGATTAATGGTTGAGTGTCTAAGAAAACCTCCTCTGTAGACATTTATCATAAGCAATATGTCTCATTATTAATAGTACTAATAAAAGCAAAAGGCAGTTGGAATAGCATGGAGAACAAAAGCAGAATCTTGAAAATTATTTTTTAGGTAAGCTCGGGAAGTTAATACCTTGGGTAGCTGTAGAACCAAACACTTTGTTGAATTTGAAGAGCCTATGGCTTCCTTGTTTGGAGGGGTTTGCAATGACTAAATCACCATTCTCTCCAACGTATTCTATTGCAGTGTGTTTCTTACTTTGCCCTGGAAGAAATGGTCTTATGCGACAGTACACTCTAATATTACCTGCAAGAAGATACATATACAAAAATGATAAGCTAGCAAGCAGGAATTACATGGAGCTGAAAAGTTAACCATCAAGTATGATAAGCAATGTACCTTTTAAATCCTGAACCTCATTGTACAATCTTCTATTTTCTGCAAGAACTACATGATAATTTTCAGCAGCATCCGCAAGTCCTTTTAGCTTTAAACCTATTGTAGATATAAAAATACATATGCATTATGAAATGGCTAGACATAAGAAGAATAAAACAGCCAAAAAAAAAACAAAGGAAAGAAACACCAACGGATGGAGGGAAAAAAAAAGAGGGTAAAGAAACAAACTAAATCATCGAATAATATAGGTGGTATGGTAAGGTTGCCAGACTCATAGTATTTAGCTTCAAGTTTGTCTCAGAGAGATTATTATAATAAAGGTGAACCCTGTCCTACGATCTTTTAAGTTTAGTAGAGAAAAAAACCATTAAATAAATCAAGCAAGCAAAGGTCAAGTACCTAAGTAATTGAATTCTTCGGAGCAACTTCTTTTGTTCTTCAAGATTTCATGTTTTGTCGACTCTAGTGCAGCTCTTAATTCCTACATACCATCATTAAATAAACCTTGAGAATCGACATAAACACATTATAAAGTTAAAAAGTCATAATAATTAAGCCATACCTGTAATGCTCCAAATTGGAAGTTTACAAAGCTTTGGTAAGTACGCTCTTTCCTTTTCCATCGCCTTGATTTAGATTCCGCAAAGGATTCTAATTCTTTCACCTTCTTCTTTGAATCGATTAATTCTCTCTCAAAATCTTTTAACTTTTTGTCGAACTCTACTTTTGCCTCGTTGGCATTTTCCTCTAACTGCAAACAGTGACTTTCGTGTCTTTTTCTAGTCAATTCTAATTCTTGTTCAAGTCTTGAAATCTCACTTTCACGATGTTCCTTTTCTCTCGTTATTTTCTCCACGTCATTCTCTTCAAGTTTTTTCTTTTCCTCTAGCTTTAATTTTTCAGACTGTATACACAAACATACGATTAAGAAAATATATAAACAATTTAAAAAAAAAGCACTGAACTTTGCATATCAAAGTTTATTCCATTTCCACAAGTACAAACAAGTAAATATTACAAGTTGGTTGACAACCCTTTTAGGATTTACAATAATGGAATCATGTTAGCCAACAGCAAAATCATTGATTTTAATCATACATGCTAACAATATGTTAGTTTGTATTTTTTTTTTTTAGTTTATGAAGTCAAGAGAATCATTCTTTTTCAGAATGGATGTTAGAGTATCTGGTATGAATTGGGCAAACCAAACAAGAAAACAAGAATTCAAGCAAAAAGCACCACCAAACTTTTTTCTAAAAGCTAATATGTGAACAAGCTAGAGAAAGTCCAAAAATTGAATTCAGAGTACAAGCCATCACCTTTATAAGCTGAAGCTGATCCAAGACAACCTATACAAGTTAAAAATAAATTTATTTAATAAATTAGGGAAATAACTAAAAGTCAACTATTCAATTAGAACGTGTAACTAAAATCTGTGTTTGAACTACCTCATGTTCTTCAGTTGTCCCCATCGCAAGGGTTTCAAGAACTCTGAGTTTTGCTTGATACTTCTCCTCACGAGCCTTAAAGAGATTGTTGTGCTACAAGCACGAAACAAGACAAACACTCAGTACTGATAGCACTTTATGAAAGTTGTGTGTTTTGGTAAGAGAGCTACAGTAGCATTTTACATTTTTGAATTTGTTTGCTTGATATGAGATTCGCTGCTCAATCACTTGCATGACTTTTCTCAACAGATACGCAACACGCTGAGCAACATATTGATAAAACAAGTTAGAGAAAGGAAAAAAAAAAAAGGGGGCAAAATGCACAGCATGGAAATAGGAATTCAAGTTGGTAACCGTATTAGAAATTCATTCTTGCATCTATTATCAACATACATTAGGAAGATCCCCATTCTTCGTTTGGATGCTATCTTCCAAAATCTGGTTCACCAGATTAAAGAAAGATTGAGTGGATGTGTTCTGCGCAAAAGATCAAAACACACATGAGCATTGTCAAGTTGACATTTTCTGAGCAAAAAATTAGAATTATGACCGGAAGTTCAGGAGCTTACGTCCAAACTATGTGAGTTAATGAATTCCAAAATCTTATCATCAGAGAAATCTGCATGATACCCTTGTCTTGATAACACCTCATGAACCTTCTGTCCAATTACTTGCACAAAAGCAGGTGATGGTTCTAAAACATAAGGGAAAAAATATAAGGAATGAGTAAATAAGCAATACAAAAATTCATACACCAAACAACAAAATAATAAATTTAAGTGTGTATAAAATGCAGGTTCCTCTCTCCATTCCCACCTTACAATTCCCTTTTAAAGTAACCAAAAAGAATACCTAATAAAACAGGAGAGGAATCTGTTAAACTTCTTTGCATTCCGCCTCCATTTTGGACTCCTGAAGAATCCATACCCTTCAATGATTCTACCTCTGACAAATCCCATTTCTTTCTTGAATGAGTTTCATCATTCTCTTCCTCAGAACCGTAATCAAAAGCTGCTCTGAGTGTACTAAGACATTGCAAAACTGGAGCCAAAGATCCCTGCAAACAGTCTCATACCATTATTCACCTTGAGAGAAGCTAAGAGGGGCAAAAATTAGGAAAGATCCTAGTACAAACCATAATTGCGTACCAAATAATGGTTCAAGACTGAAAATAAATTTCAAGTTGGGAAGTTGTACATAACATAATACCTAACCTTAATTAGTGGTTTAAGGTTTTAGAGTATGGCAATTCAACATAAAACTATTGCCATGAAATCAGACTGCAATACTCCAGAACTGCTTTACGGCCCCCAGAGAAAAAATAATAATAATAATAATAATAATCCCAAAAAGCCAAAAACAAAAACAGTGAACATAAACCACTGAAAAGGGGAGGGGGGAGAGAGAAAAAAGGGAAAAATAAAAAAGAAAAAAAGAAACTTTACATACCCGCTCTAGATCTGAAATCTCAAAGCTAGGCAAACCTAATTCATCCATAGCAGCAAGAAACCTTTTAACATTAGTGGCATCTGGACCAGAGCTGGCAACCTAGGTAGAAGTACAAATGGAAGAAAAAAAATGAACTTGGAATACAAAACAAAATGCCAATTACATACTGTAAATTAAATTTATTCAAAAATATTAAGAGACTACAAAACAAATTTTCAAACAGAAGTAATAATACTACCATTTCTACCGAACCAGGACATAGTTTATTCAAAATACTGCACAAAACAGTGCCATCAATCAAGGACACCCTTATCTCCTCCCTTGATGCTTCCGGTGACAACCTCAGATGAGGAAGCATGTCATCTAACCACTCCACCAGAGATGATATTTGATAACCTAAACACGAATAATGAACTCAAGTTTAAATGTAGATCATAAAGAACGAGGCTACCAAAGCTACCAGCTCTATAAGAAAACAAAGATTATCCCACATCAGATATTACTTACCCTGAGACATGTTGCCAAACTTTTCCTCTATTCCAGCATTTTCATCATACGTTCCATTTTCACTTGTGTGTGGCTGGGAGTTGATGTTCATGACGAAACCTACAAAAATACCCAGTTTCCAATTTCCATGATCAAATCCTATGCATGGAGCTACTGGGAAACAGAATCATAAACCTAAGAACAAATAAGGAACAGAAATGAAAAAGTGAATGAGGCACGAATCTGCTATCATATCACCACGTGATTGTTCATAAGTGCCACATAGGTAATATCAAATAACATCAATAGCAAAATTCTCAACTGAAAACCATACTTCATAACTCCGAATCATTACGGACCATCCTCATTTTAACTAGGCAACCAAGTTTTCAATTGGGATAAGAATTTTTACTTCATTTTCTTCTGAATTACAATACGCCTTAAAAAAAAATGTGACAGTAAATTATTCGCACCAAAATATGTTGCTTCCTATAAATACAACTACAAAAAATCCCTGAGCTAAGCGGCTAAGCTTCATTCTATAGATTGCAAGAATAAAAATTAAAAAATAATAAATAATTTTTAAAGTAGATGCTTTTCTTCTCCCACACTTTCACATAGCAAATTTTACATTCAAATAAAGTCAATTTATTCTTTTTCGTTTAAAATTACTTGAAATTCTGCTTCTTCTTTAAAGAAAACAAGTAGATTGCAAATACAACCCCCATTTCTCATCTTTAATCTTATACCGAAACCATCAGGAAGAAAAATCCCAAAAAAGCTCAATTCTTAAAATCCGAAGCTCCAGAATTCAAATTACCAAACTACATTGTCAATTCCCAACAGCGCAAACGTATAAAGCAAAAAAAAAAAAAAAAACGAGACCTTCACAACCAGATCCACGCAAAATCCCAACATTTCTCAAGCACACAACCATGTACGAAAGGGAAATATCACGAACCTTAAGCGACATAAACCGCTAGGAGCTCCGAGATCGGAGGATTCGAGAAAAAAGAAAAATTTGCCGGAGAGAAGGAAAATGAGATTCTCAGAACTGATCCGCTTCGAACAATGTACGGAAAAAACAGATTCTTTTCCTTTCCTTTCTTTTCTTTTATTTTCTTTTCTCGAAAAATTCAGCTCCAAGATTTCAGAGATTAGAACAGGAGAGAGAGAGAGAGAGAGAGAGGACCTGGACGAGAGTGGTTTTTGTTTTCGAGTTTGTTTTGTTTCAGAAAAAAAAAAAAAAAAAAAAAAAAGGTGGAAAAAAAATGGGTTT